GCATATGTGTGTCGGGATCGACAAGCCTCTCTCTCTCTCTCTACCGACCCCAACCGCATGTCACAAGGAAATACATAATGATGAGGCAGGTGCTGCCCTGTCAGGACCCGTATAACGTGTACCACCAGCCAAGTACGGAAATTAAACCATGATTCTTCCTGGAACTGACTCCAGGATTATCCTTAGGGTCTGTTTCCCTAAATTCAATTACCGCATGATTACCTAGAGCCTCCTGAAACTCTCACAAATGGATCCCGTAAGGGAGGAGGGCGTGGCAGGACCCTGGAGCCGCAGAGCGTATGCGTGTGTCTGGCCTTGCTGAGGTGGGGAGAGAGGGAACTGCCTGAGTCCCCCGCCTCTGCTCTGCAGCCGGAGCACAGAGGCCCCTGGGGACAGCTCGGGGCCCTTCCTTGGTCCCTGGACCTTGTTCGTGACTTGCAGCGTGGGAATACACTTCATTGTCCAATTTCACACAAACACACGTACATGCACACGCACACGACTCCGTACTCGTACACACAAGACATCGGATTCCAAGGTATTTATCTAAGAACTGTGCACAAGCTTTGGGACTGCATAACACACCCAAGACATGCCCCTCGCCTCCCGAGGTGCTCAAGGCTGTGTCTACTTGGAGAATGGAGGACGCCCCTACATATGTGTATGTTGCAGCATGAAATTGATTGACAATGATCTGGGGGGAGGCAGTAAATACTGCACGTGTTCAGGGCACAGCCAGCCTTGGTAAAGGCTGGAATAATCTAGAACAACCTCAGGGAGGGATGGGGCTCGAGCCGGTCCTCTGAAGGACCCACAGCGCCCTGGAAGGTGGGAGGATGACCCCTGGAGACAGGTAAGTCTATCTCCAAGTCCCTGGATGTTGCATCTGACAGCTTACTCAAGCCTCTACGCCTTCATCTTACCATCTGTGGGACGGGGACAGTGATAGTGCCCACCTCGAGAAGATGTGTGAGCACTGAAGGAGACCATCCCTCTAAAGGTCCCTGCTCATCGTAAGCACTCAATGTCAGCTGTTATCAGTAACCACAGAGGGAAGAGGGAGGTGCAGGAGGGCATGGGGGGGTGTGTGTGGTGCGGGCGACAGTGATTTTTGAACTACGGCCACAGGAAACGGATACTATGTCCAGGAATAACTTTTTCCTCTTCAGAGCTCTTACCTTCTCACAGCAGTGGCAAACATAACAGGGAACCATAGACGGAGACTTGTTTTCAGAATGCATGGGGATGTGGTTCTGTACAAGGGCAGGTCTGGCTCATGGGGGCTGGTCCCAACTCCCTCATGTCCCAGTGTCATTCCCGGTGACCCAGGATAAAACTGAAGGGGCTGAGGATGAGGTCCCAGGTCAACGGGTGATCCAGCAAGCAGGTAGTGAGGGCAGCATGCCAAGGCCTGGCAGTGCCCACTGGGTTACAGGGAGAGGGAAGGAGGGAGGGAGGGAGGGAGGGAGGGTTGGCAGTCAGTTTCCAGGTAAATATCACTGGGTGTCTGTCCCTCCGTCAAGCTGAAGCTCCAGGCCAGAGTCGTTGGAAGGCATTTGGATCTGACAAGGCATGTTTAATGTTCCCTGGTGAAGAAATAACCTATATGTTTACTTCGGGGGTTTTCCAGAAACGCTCAAGGCTCTCTCCTGACCCAGTTGATCTTCAGAGCACATCTCTGAAGGGGACAAGGAAGCTGAGATGTGGGAAGGGCGGGGTTCTTGATGAGGGGAGTGGGTTCTTCAACTAGATCAGTTCCGCCCTCCTTGTGTGTTCTAGAAGTTTGCTGTTTGGGGTGGGCAGGAGTGAGGAAGACCCTCCACCCCGGAGCCCAGGGTGGACCAGTTCAAGCTTTCCCTCATTCCTTTGTCCAGTTTGGCACATGCGTGCCTCCCCCCCACCTTCGGTCAAGACATGTGGCAAGCACCTGTGTCCCGCCAACATACTCGGTGTCATTATGACAATGGTGCTCCCGGGACCCATGATGCTCAGCTCTCACAGCATCTTCTCTCTCCTGTGGGCCTGAAGCTTCCCTGTGGACAGGGACTGACCATGTTGGCTAGTCAGAGCCCAAATAGCGTTTCCAGATAAAGCCCAGGATGTCCAGTGAAATCCGAATTTGCATAAACAATGCATTTTTTTAGTATTAGTATATCTCACATATTTCATGAGACATACTAAAAAAGTACACATTGTCCACATGAAATTCAAAATCAGCTAGGCATCCTAGTTTTTTCTGTGCTCAGTCTAGCAACCCTAGCTCCAGAGCACCCCAGTGGGATCCAAGGCTGACCTCCTGACGATGAGTTGGGGTGACTACAAGTTACAGGGAGGGCAGAGCTAGAGTCTGGGCCCTGGCTGGTGAGGGAGGGACCAGCTTCCCAGGGGTGAATGGATACAAGAGAGCCCCTGACTCTGTGGTGGGTCAGCTCCAGCTCTCTATGCTCAAGGCTCAGCCCCCTCAGAAAGGTTCATTTGGAGAAAATACAATGAAGCATGGGTCTCCTAGTATGTAGGGTTAAGGCCCCAGCTTCCTGCTTGCTTTCTCTCTCCTGAACTTGGGTTCAAAGAGGTGTAGGACCCTTTGCTTGTGAAGGGTTGGGCACCGACAGACATTGAGGCCTCCAGTTAGGGAGAATCAGTCCACACCCAGAGGAACTGGGGCTACTGGATACTCCTCTCTTTTCCCCATGCCAGGGCTCCTGCCCCTCTTTGAGTGTTCCCAACCTTGGACACATGTGTGTCCCAGAGGCCCGGAGCTCAAGTCGCCGTGGAGTACCTCTCTGCAGGCTGGTGGAGCAGACAGCTTGGCTCTAGAATCAGTACAGAACCAAGCAGTGGCCTTCCACCCTGGACAAGCTGTTCTGCCCTCAGAACCTCAGACTCTCATCCTCCAAGGAACTTCAAACCCTCTGGGGTCTGAACGGAACAAGATACTCAGGTGGTGCTCGTATGTCAGAGGGAGCTCAGCACATGACGGGGTCCTGGGGTCAGAATGGGTGCTGGACTCTCTTGGGTCTCGCACCAGGTCGGGCATCCCTGCAGCTCCTCCTGACCTACCCATCTGCCTCTGTCCCACTGTCAGCCCCTGTCAGCCCTCCGACCTCAGGCTCCAGGCTCACCTAGGATGGCCCTCCTCAAGGACCTATCCCAGAAGTTCTGCCACCGGGTTCCAAGGCTTCAGGCCACCTGCAGCCCACACCTTCCCTTGAAATTTTTTCTTCCTCACTGCCAACGGTGCCATTCTCCCTCTCCCCTCCCCCCCAGGCTCAGCCTGGCAGAGGCCACCCACTGGGTAGGAGGGGCACCCGCAGGGGCTAAGGCTCACTCCCAAGTCACCAACTGTGCAGACCTGAACAAGGGCTCCCCTTCCCACTCCTGAGTTTTTAGTTTTCCTCTACCAGAAAAACAGGGAGACCAAATCCCTGCCTGGCATGTGCCTTTGTGTCCCAGCCAGTGAACGACAGGCCCAATTCTAGTGCTGAGCAGGCAGTTTGCCAGGAGCAGTCAAGATCACCCCTCCCTCCACTCCCAGGGTGGCAAAGGGCATTCATTACATGGAGGGGGGAGGGGGGAGTGTTTAACTCACTCTAAAGGGGGCTGGGGTGATGGGGGTAGTGGGAGGGACAATTCACAAAAGCCAGGGCTAGAAACTCCCAACGGTTTTTTTTTTTTTTTTAGAACTTCCCTTCCCTCTCTCCCCTCCCCCCTCCCCTCCCCCCCCCCCAGCCGCTGGTGGCCTGCAGCCAACACTGGCCACACTGTCCGCATTCAGGCCTCCCGCCCTCCTGGCCCTCTATCTCTTCCCCTGGCCTTCCCAGCGCTGCGCGCTCTCGCCACCGCCCCCTCCCCATTCTGAACCACGTTGACCTCTTCCGCCCTGGCGCCCTGCACAGGCTCTGGGCCCTCAGTCCCAGGCGGGCAGGCAAGGGGCTTTGGAGGCCAGGAGCAGCCCGGCGCCCACCAGGGCCCCAGTCCCCGCGGCCCCTGGCCCTGCTCGGCCGCCCGGCCAGGAGGAGGATCGCTGCGTCTGCAGAAAGCTGGCCACGGCGGCCGCCTCCCCAGTCGCGGCTTCCTGGCCGGGGGGGACGACGACCTGGTGCTCGGCCCACTCCCCTCGGCCCCTCTGGGCCCTTAACCCCTTCCTGCCCCGCGACACCAAGGGCCCCAGCCTCGCCACCCAAAGCAGGACCGGTGAGACGGGGTTCCGCATTTCCCTCGCTCCCTGAGGAAACCGGGGTGAGCCGGCCTTGCTCACCAGGCCTCCTCCCCCTCCTCCTCCCCATCCACCACGCAGGAAGCCCCCCGCCCCTGCCCTGGCCGCGCTCGCTGCGCCTCCAGTCGGAGCCTCTGGCCTGGTGGTTTCCGGGGAGAGAGGCTGGCAGAGAAAGAGCCTCGGCGGCTTCCTCGGTGGGGCGGGGCCAGCGATGCCAGCAAGCGACGCTAGAGAGGGTGGGAGGGTCCCCTCCCCGCCGAACCTGCCTTACTGGGCAGGGATTATTAAAAACACCCCTGCCCCACCGGAGCCAGCGCCTGGGTGTGTGGCGCACCGGGTGGGTGGGGGGCAAAGATCAGCAGGTGCCGGGCGGGTGCTGCGCGCGCGGCTGCGGGGTAAGGGGGGCTAGCCCCACCCACTCCTCCGCGCCGCTCGTTCACCCCTGCACCCCTCCCCCACCACGCGGATCCCCGGGTCGGCCAGCGCCCAGGGCACCGCCGGCCCGAAAGCCCTGGGGGCGGGGGCGACGCTGACGCCCCCTCCCCCCGCAGGAATTCCCCTCTCCGTGGGAGCGCCTCTCGACTTCCGGGGAGCAGGGTCACTCCCTGGGCGCGGGCGCCTCTGCCCGTGCAACCGGTCCGCTTCGCCTTTGCAAAAGGTTTAGCGCAGGACGCGGGGAGGTTTCCTCCCCGAGACCTAAGGTGTAAGGGGGGTGGGGAGAGGGGTCCAGCCGTCTCCTGAACCTCCAACGCTCCGTCTGCGCTAATCTCAAACAGCGAAAATGCACCTTCAACATCTCCATTTAATATTTACATTCAAGCAGGTAATAATTGGAAGCTTATAGTTTAGACATTTCTAGTAGCAGCAGTTTCTAGAGAGCTCGTTTAGCCTTTAAACAAACTTTTTTTTTTTTTTTTTTGCACATAGAAACAACACATCCATGTGTACAGTATCAAAAAATATATACCAACGTTACTGGTATTGCAGTTCCAGGAAGGGGAGGAAATGAAATCAACCGAAATACTGAATGAACAGGAAGAAAGGTCAACAGAAAATAGTTTGTCTGATATAGAATATAACATGATCTAGAGGAAACTCCATAAATCTAGGTTTTTATATTTCAATATATAAATACCTACAAATAAATATATATATATCAGCCCGAAGGGGGTGGTCGGGCCTTTTGAGCTCAAACAATACATTTCAATAATAACACCACTTACAAACGGGAGTAAAGTCTGCACTTGACAAGTTAGCACGGTTAAAATATAATACTATAACTCTGAGACCCAGGCGCTGTGGCTGCCCTGTCAGTCCCGGAGGTCCGCGAGGGAGGGGAGGTCCAGCGCGGGGATGGGGCAGGTCGGGGGCGACCGCAGGCACCGCGTGGCAGGAGCCAGTGCCGGCCGGGGGGCAGGCCCCAGCCAGGAGCCGACGGCGGGGCGCAGAGGGACGCGGATTCTGCGGATACTGCGGCTCCCGGGCGTCCACGCACCAGGGCAGGCCCGGATCTCCCGCAGCTGGCGAGAGAGGAGGAGTCCGCCCGTAGGCACCAGGTGCTAAGCCACCCGCGGGGATGACGCTTCCCCTTCCGAAGCCCTCCGGCTACACCGTCACGTACTCCTTGAACGTGACGGTGAGGCAGTTCGCGGTGACGTCGGTGATAATTATATTCCCAAAGAAGGGCTTGAACTCGCTCAGCGGCTCCTCGGGCTCGTCCTGGGCCTCGGCCGGAGGCTTCTCGGCTGCCGTCACCGGCGCAGCTGCCACGGCCGCCACCGTAGCGGGCGCCTCGGGCTTCACTTGGAGGGCGCTTGGGGGCTCCCCGGCTTCGCCGCGCGTCTTGACGCAGCGCAAGTCTATCGGCTCATCCAGATCCGAGTCCAGCAGGATGACCTCGGGCTGGGGCAGGGTGGCGGTGGGGGGCACGTCGGAGGGGTGCTCGGCGGCCGGGCTACCCCCCAGGCAGGTGGGGGTGCTGATGCTGCGCGCCGTTAGGCGCTTTTTGCAGGGCTCGCGCTCGCCGTGGGTCTCGGAGAGGCAGCGCTTGTGCGTGGGAGAGATTTAGGCCGACCGAGTGGTGGTGGTGGTGATGGTGGTGGTGGTGGTGGTGATGGTGGGAGGGCGGATGGGAGCTCCGGGCCGGGTCCCAGGCCAGCAGGTCGGGCTTGGTGGTGAGCTGCAGGGGCTGCTCGCCAAAGGCCTCCTTGGTCGGGGACAGCTTGCGGGAGCCGGCGTCCTGGGGCTGCGGGTCGCGGGCCCCCGGCGCCTCCTCCTCCCTCCTCTTGGACGGCGCCTCCGCCTTCTTCTCCTCGGCCCCTGCTGCCTTTTTGAAAGTCCTGTCGGCCGGGGGGTGGCGCTCCTCGGCGGCCCGCTTCTTGTGGCTGGGGGAGCGCGCCTCGCCCTCGGCCGCCTCGCCGGACTTGATCTTCACCGCCTGCATGCCATTCTCCATGTATTTGCTCATGACGATCACGATGCGCCCGTTCTTGTTCTTGTTCTTGACGATCTTCATCTTGCCCCCAATCCCGTTGCCCGTCACCGCCTCTTTGGGGGCCGGCGTCATCCCATTGGGAGGGCCCTTCTCGGAGCCCTTGCCTGGAGCCCCGGCCGCACCGGTCAGGGGCTTCACAGCTCCCAGGTAGCCCTTGGCCCCCGCGCCGTGGGCCCACTTGTCAGGCGGGTGGCTCTTGGCGCCCAGGTCCGGGCAAGTGGGGCTGGGCGCCTCCTTGTGGCCGCCCTGGTACTGCAAGTCGTACATCTTGGGGTCGGGCTGGTAGGGGTGGTGCTTCTTGCTGTTGAGCTGGTAGTAGTACTTGCCGCTCTTGCCTGGCGGTGGGGGTTTGCCGGCTCGCTCCTTGCTGTGCGGCTGGTACTGGTGGTGCTTCTTGCTGTTGAGCTCGTACTGGTGGCCCTGGCCCTTGCCCTGAGCACCCAGCTCCAGCTTAGAGCGGTTGTCTGCAGAGGAGTCCTGGAGTCCGGTCAGCACGTTGGAGCGACGGGCAAAGGTAGGTACCTGGGGGAAGGAGGCAGGGATGCGAGGGGAGGTGAGAAGAGGAATAGGGCCGGCCCCAGAGCATGCCTCGAGCCTCAGGAGTGTCCCAGCCCCAAGCGGGTCAGCAGCTGTGTTATAGGGCCAGTGTGTTGGAGGTCAAGTGGAAAGGAAGTGGAATTGGGTGCTCTGCAGAAACTCTCCCTGCCCTCTGGGCCTGGAGGCAGATCAGGTGACAATGGCAAGGGAAAGACTAGTGGACAAGCCCCGGGCCCAGCAAGTATATTCACCTGCACCACCAGCGGCTTGGGCTTCGGCCCTCTCTTCCGATATCCCATCAGCTGC